TTTTTTTCCCCCAGAAACAGAAGAAACCAAGTGATGTAAGGTCATAGCTGACCTTCTCAGTGAAACTATTTTTGTCTTTGACATAGATACTCAGGTCTATAGCCAAAGTAGAAAACAGCAGATGCTTCAGCCGTGGGGGGTCAATACAGGGATTTGTCGAATGGATAGTCCTTCTGTTGCTTTTTTGTGCTTCATGTCTGATGGCTGAGGGCAGATTCACAGGCACCAAGCCAGGCTTTGCAAGCTGGTTTGATGTTGCAATGGCACTCAAATCGTGATAACGAGATGCGGTCCTAATTGCCCTGAGCACACTTTGATGTATCAATTTCATTCTAGGTGCATAAAGAAATCTTTATGTTTCTAAAGCCTAAAATGAGGCTGCTTCCTGTTACTGGGCCTCTAATCCACTTTAATGATGTTTTATTTTGGAAAATTATTGCGCCGCTTTCACTTAAAATCATTCAGACCAGTGGTTTTCAACACAAAAATATAACAACACGGCTCAAAATAAATCTGAGGGTTCACGAAAAACAGAATAAAGTTTTCAGCTTTTCACAGAGTTGATATCAAGTCTAACAACCACTTTCACACGTATGTTTTTAGACCATGAGAGGAAAGTGGAGCACCTACAAGGTAAGGCCCAGCCGACCAGCAGTTTCAAACCAGAAACTGTCGTCCTGTAAAGTAACAGTGCTAACCACTTACCCACCACGCTGCCATAATATGGAACTGCGCAAATGTCTTGAGCCACCTCTCATTTCTTTCTTTCTTTCTTTTCTTTCTTTCTTTCTTTCTTTTTTAGAAAAATGGGAAATAGATGTAGTTTGTTAAAAGATGCAAACACATGTGGAAATACAGTGTATAAGACAAAACATATAAAGTCAACCTTTTTGACCACCTTTATTCTTCTTATTCTTCTGAACTCTCTTGGACAAGCTTTCTTTAAGTAGACTTCAGGAATAGTTCTCCAGGCTTTTTGAAGGACGGGCAAAGCTCCGCTTCAATAATATCCAGGTATACCTTCACTGCACTGGCATCCTGTTTGGGGTCATTTTCATACTTAAATTTGAAACTGTTATGAGATGGTGGCCAGATGATGTCACCAACTGATCTCCTGTTGGCACCTGAGACCATTGCTGATGAGGTTTCAGTGAGCAGAACCAAAAGTTTGCTGAGATATGTCAGGTACAAGGACTGGACTGGAAAGTGAAAAAGCAGCCAAAACTTTGAAAGACCTTCAGAAAGACTAGATGACTTTTCCTCAAGACCAAACGTACAAGAAAGTCCAGATCCTTGGAAATATTTTTTAAAAAGAGTGACGAATCAACACTCCTGAAGAATACTATATATTTATAATATATAAAAACAATATTTGACCTTAAACAAGATAGTCCAAAACCCCCAACTTTTACACATAGCCTTTTATTTTATTGCACAATTGCAAATTATTACATTTTTGAAACTGTATTCCTTTAATGAAAATGGTGATTTAAGACTTCAGATATCAGTGACACATATTGCCAAGGAAACAGTAAGAAACAGTGAGACTTTCTCTCATCGGTCTATAATAGCCAAATCAGTTTTTTATTAAAAAGAAAAAAAGAAAAAATGAGTTGTTCTGGTAGCATATTTAAAGCTCAAACATCAGCACCTTCCCCTAAACTGAAAGTGCAGCATCAAAGTGATGTGTTTCTATGACATAATGATGCATTGCCAAACTTTTGCTCGTGACTAACCTGCTGTAGGTTGTCCAGAACTGGACTGAAGTCAGAATTCCCAGGGGGAAACCATCTGGACCAAACAGTAATTTCTATACATTCAGCAGGCTTTTTTTTTCTTTCACACAGCACATGTTGATAAGCAGCATGGAGATCATAAGTCACATGATTACAGCTTATATGGCCTGTAGATGGTGATTTTGTGAGCAGGAAAACAACAGTTAAAACTCAATATTATTCATTTATTGGATAAAATATTCAAATTTTCAGTATTTCTATGGATGTTTTTTTTCTTTTTTTCCCCTATGATAGCACAAAACAGTACAGTATTATGCACTGTTTTATGATCAGAGGGTTTTGTATTGTCGGACAAATGAATAGTCTCAACTATACATACAATCCTTGGCAGGGTATGTGTAAAAAAATTCAAGTGCTCTTTGATTGTTCAAGTACTAATTTAGCCTTTGTCATCTTGGAAAACAGCAAGAAGAAGAGAAACCTTTGTGCCATTTCAACTTTCAATTCAGTTCACTTCGATGTTATTTATATAGCCTCAAGGCGCTTTATACGCAACGTGATCTACTACTTTCAACTAATGCAGTACTTGCACGAAATGTACAACTGACTGCTACTTTATGAGGCAAAAAGTCACATTCATTGTTTTCCTTCCTTTATCATGTGTGGACAGCACTGATTTATTTCCATCCACCACAAAAGGTCAGTTCCAGTAACACAGATCAGATCAGACCCAGACGTGCATAAAATAGCGTTCAGGATTTCCCTCTTAAGCCAAAAAAAAAAAAAAAAAAGTTTAAAGAAAAAACCAAAACAGCCAAATCCTCAAGAATTTGTGACGTTCACTTTGTTTCCAGAGCAACACTGAATAAAATCGTGACTCATGTGTTTGTGCCTCAGGTGGAGAGTTTACACATGTTACAAAAATCCAGAGAGAACAGGTAGGATCTGACAGCTTTTGTGTTTTTGTATAAATTTACAATAATTTATTACTTAATCTATTAGCTGATGAACAGAAAATGAATCTACCACAATTTAAATAATAAATAAATATTAATTTTAGCTACAGTATGTGCAAAAGTCTTGAGCCACCCCTCATTTCCTTGTATTTGCTTCCATGGAGCCGGACTTTCTTGAAATCTTAATGGTCTTGAGTAAAAGTTCTCCAGGCTTATTATGTCCTTTTTCACTCTTTTTCAGTCCAGTCCTTGTACTCAATCATTTTCAGAGGAATGTTTTTCTTTGTTTGTTAAGCCACTCAACACTGACCTATATGAATCATTCAAACAAAAACAGCACCTAACCCAAGGTAGCAGATAACTTAATACACACATAATTAGTTCCCACTTCTTTCATTGAATATATGAAAAATGCCAGACTGTCAAGAAGTAATTCTTAAGGAAAGGAAGCAGCAAGGAAAGGCATGGTCTTGTGAGTGCGTACAGCCATCTGTGAAACATTTTGGAGACTCTTTGATGGTTTGGTACTACATTTCAGCCAGTGGTGTTGGGGATCTTGTTAAAATTGATGGAAATGTGAACACAGATTTCATCACTTAGAGATCATCAGATTTTGATCCACCATATAATACCATCTAGAAAGTGTCTGCTTGGAAACGGCTTCGTTTTTCTGCATGACAATGATCCCAAACACAATCCCAGTGCAGCGAAAACATACCTGGAACACTATCAGTCGAGGATCAGCCTCCCCAGATCCCGGACACCAACATTATTGAAGCTGTGTGGGATCGTCTTGACACTGAACAGAACAAAAGGGAGTCAACAACCCAAAAGGAAATTTGAATGTTCCTCAAGAAGCCTGGAGAAATATTCCTGAAGACTACACAAAGAAATGAGAAGGAATTCTGCTTTAGAGAGTTCAGGCTGTTTTAAAGAATCACTGTGGTCATTGGCAAAATCTGAGCGAGAGACTCTGTTTTTGCCCTATTTTCTATATTACATTTGCATGTTTCAATAAATTTCTGCATCCATCCAAAAATCAATAAAAAAATTTTTTACTGCTTTTTTTTTTCTTAAATAAATGAAATACCTTAAGAAGTTAATCATCTATTGAAGCTGCTGGAAATAAACTGAGTGTGACATCGCATCATGTCGCCCACAGAAAAATACACCACTAAGCACCAGACTGGGTTCAGAAACACAGGAAATACTAGCTGAGGGTGGATTTTTCCTTTTCCATCAATCACCCAGGCTCAGCCCATTGTGACATAATTGTCTGTGATTGGCAACCAGCTTATTATCCACTGTACCCCGTACCAGCTGCCACTCCAAGCTGCTGCTCAAATAGCCTGCTTCTACTTTTTGATCCAGAGGTGTGCTTCATATCTGTCTTAGATCTCAGGTTTTTGGCTTAGATCTATTCCCTTAATTCTAAATTACTTCTAAGTGGCTCAAACATGTAAACATTAAAACAATTCTTTTATTTAATCAGTGTAAAAAATACAATTTGTGGTTTAATGGGAGGTGATTACTTGGCTTGGCACATGAACTAAAAAGCTGTTCACAGCTTGACATTTGACACTTTTTCGTTTGTACAAAAAAGTCAGTGAAACAGAATGCTTGTTAATAAGTGAGCTTTAGGGGGTAAAAAGGTATCAGCGTTTTAACAAACTCCTGCCACTTAGCAGGTATCTTGGCAATGTCACCAGGTGTTTACTGTATTTGGAAAATTATCTGTCTAAGTCTCGATCTAAACACACAGGAGCTTTGATTTTAATGTTCACGGGGACATGAATAAAGCACATATAGAAAGTTGGCAATGCTCCTTTTTGATGGGGCTGTTGGAGTTCTTGCTTCTTCCCACAAGTAATTTTTAAAATAGTGCTTTCAGTGTTACACAACTAATCCAGTTGAGAGCGTTTCGCTCAGCGCCGATAAGTGTCTACTTGTGATCACCGCACTTATTTCCAAATGGATTTTTTTAACTGCGCTTGAGATGTGATTTATTTTTTAACCTACCCACTTGTCACGTTACGTAATTTAGTAGTGTCTGTGATGCACCTGTACTTTGGGCAAAGAGCCCTAGAAGTCATAACACCAGGGGCAGCTACACATGAGTCACATGAAATTTCTGGTATGCATCAGCTTTTCTGAAGCTTTGACAATCACGATTTGTTTCAGGGCGACATAAGGCAACTGATACGAGCCCAGTCACAAACACCATGGTGGAAAAAGTCCAGAAAATCATCATGATGCGTGCCTATCAAAGGAAAACACCGACCAGCTACAACATTAAGAAATAACCCCTGAGTTGAATCAGCACCTCTGAGATTATTACCAAAAACACAAAGTTTAGCTTTTGAGAGCTGCTGACTGACAGGTTTTAATCATTTATTCATTTTTTTATGTCACCCTTTCACTGTGCCACCGCTCCGAAGCCTCTGCTCTTACCTACACACTGCGCAGACGTATTGTTCATGTGCAGCTAACCAGATCGATTTCGACACACCTACAGGATTCCTCAAAGCATACTGGATGCCCTCGAATAACACCTCAGTTAAAAACACTGCGTGATGTTTCTCAAATATATATATTTGTGTTTACAGTACTCTATGTGCTTTTTTTTCCCTTTTTGCACGTTATGCTTCTGGATTACTGGGATTGTAGCACCACAAACATCGACTTGCAGTCATGTCTTTGCTGAGGACTGCCAAGTATCTGCTGCCCACTTGGCAGTTATAGATAAATTATGCTGTAATGAAATCTGTTGTGCTGAAAAGGCTACACGGAGCTGCGTCTCTTAAACATCCTGAATGGAGAGAAAATGTGTAGGCCTGATATTGGGCTTATGCTCGTGCACTGACGTGGACTGCAAACGCAGCCTGTTGAGCCAGGCTCCATGTAGTGAGCACAGTCATTGTTCTGCTGCAAGTAGGCATCGGAGAATGTCATCTCCTGAGGGATCATGTTGGGTATGGAGTCCTGCTCCTTCTCCTCGCTCCTGTACCATAAGCAGGAGCAAATAGTCTGGAATTGAAGCACTTCAGTGTAGACACCTTTGAAATCTTTAGCCTTTGTGGTGTTATCTGCTACAGGTGTGGAGGAAGCTGATATTGAGACTGGTAACAGATGAGCCACCTCTCCTCTGGGCTTACTGACAGAGAGCAACGCCTTCTCCTTGGCGTCCCTGCGTTCATCCTCAGTGTTCATGGTCAGGAAGCGAAGCACCACCAGGTTTAGGAACGCTCCAATCACCGTCAGGCCCGTGAGGATGTAAACAAAGCAGAAAGCCACATATTGAGGGTCATTCTGCAGGGCCTCATTCTTCTGCAGAGCCACGTAGTCTCCGAAGCCAATAGTGGTGAGTGTAATGAAGCAGTAGTAGAAGGCATTTAAAAAGCTCCATCCCTCCGAGTGAGAGAATGCCACAGCCCCCACGCACAGGGTGCTCATACAGGAGAAGAAGCCCACCGTCACCATGTTTGCCATGGAGACCTCGGTGTGACGCATTCCCAGGCACTTCTTGGCTTGGTGCAGCAGGTATCTGACAAACGTGTTGATCCTCTCGCCCAGACTCTGGAACATGACCAGGGTCAGCGGGATCCCTAGGAGGGCGTAGAACATGCAGAACACTTTCCCTGAGTCGGTGCTCGGCGCCGCGTGGCCATAACCTGAGACAGGGAATATTGCATATCTTTAGACATCTTTGTCCCTATTCTTTTGCCGTGGTGAGTCATAGCAACAGACAGCCTCACCTAATATAAATGCCTAAGAACAGCAGCTGCTTGATTTAATTCCACAGGAAACCAACACACACTCCCACTAAGAGAAAAAGGGAAAGCCCAGGAAAACGATTCAGCTTGGCATTAATATAGTGAACTTACTTCTACTTCATTTATAACTCGCAGATTGTTGACAGCATAGATATTGCAATATTTATAAGTATAACTTATGCTGAAGTGAACCAGAACCAAAGCCATAGACATCTCCATATCTTTTCTTCTTCATATGGCATCATTAAATGATCTTTTTATTCCATAATAAATAACTAAATTACACCTGGTGTTGTTTTGTCTTTAATTATCCAAGAAAGCCACAATGGCATACAATTATTCTGATTTACTTAGACAGTCATAATAATGATTCAGTGTCCATGTCTCTGTGTGTCTTAGCTTTTACATTTGAGATAAATATCACTTTTCTGATTGGTAAGCCAATTACAGCCGCTCTGAAGATATAACTCAAAGAATAAAGATCTGCTGCACAAAAAGATGCTTTTTTTGAATAATGTTACCTACCCAGAAGTGATGAAAGCCTGTAAGCAAAGCTTCATTTTGTTCAAGAATATTAAAGTAAAATTCAGCGTTGATGGGCACAGCAAACACATGAAAATTTTGGGGTTATTATAGGATATGTCAAGTCTGATCCATTTCCAAAATGTTTCCAAATATACTGTATAAGGCGTAAGAAGAAAATAGGTTTTTTAATCATACTATCAAGGTACAACCTCCTCATTTAAAATACAAACTAGCAACAATGTGCTAACAAGTGAAGGTTTAATTTTTCCACTCTTTTAGGAAACAGAATCTTCAGCTTTAAAAATGTTTTAAATATTTTTTATAGTGCTACAGACAGGATTTTCTTTGTCTAAGTAGTTAGAAGAGACCCCAGGAATTGTGGGAAGTCATAGGTGTTCTTTATTTATCTGTTGTTTTAAATGAGACACACAAACTAACTAAGGGGGGCTCTAGTGACTCCACTTCCTCTAAAAATCTTTCCTCCGGCCCTGCGCTGAACATCTCTCAATGAAATGCAATAATACATCACATGTATTGATTAAATAACTGTTGCTCACCTATCGTCGTAATCACAGTGATGGCGAAGTAAAAGGACCCAGCAAATTTCCACTGGAGTCCTGCTTTGTGAGGATTGAGCTGTAAAACGACGTGCTCGAGCTCTTCGAAGTTCTCTTTGGTCAAGTTATATTTGCGCATGAGTTCGTACTTTCTGGCGTCGAGCTTCCTCTTGTGACTTTTCTCCTGCTTCGACTCCAGGGTCTCGAAGACGGCCGCTCCGACCACCAGGTAGGTGAGGATGCTCATGATGAGGGCGAGAGTCCTGGCGTTTTGTCTCTTCATGATAATAAGGAGAGGGGGAGAGAAAAATCGAGCGCAGGTGGGAGCTGAGGCTCTCTGCCACCTTCTCCTGACGGACTCCGGATCCAACAGAGGGGGGACTTTGGAGAAGGAGCTGTTCTCTCAGCACCACCCCCACATCACAGTTGGGTTGCTACTGTATTTGGACTATTTGTCACCGACTTATATTTAGATTGCGCAGTAAAGGAACACAGGGCAATCCCACAGACTGTCAGAGGCGGCTTGTTGGAGTAGCAGCTCCAAGCAAAAGCGCTCATCTTCAAGGAGTTTATGCACTAAATATACAAAAGCACGGCCAGCCTCCGTGGTTGAGGCCACAACGAGCACATTACTCCAGTTTCCAAGAAGAACGGTAGTGCCGAAAAAAAGATGGACTAAACTTGATATCCATGTGATCGTAAATATTTACCTAGTGGCTATTTAAACAGACCGGCTCTTCTGGTTCCCAAGTTGTCTAGCAACCTGACGATAACCGTTCTGTGCAAATATTAAAACAAAAGAAAAGAGAAAAGCGCATCCCCCTCACGGTGCGCTGCAGGATTCTTCAGATCAATTAAGATTATAATAAAAAAATCCACAGGGGAAAAAATTTGAATTACTACTTGAGAGTAAAGAAGAGGTTCAAAGACAGACATAAGATTTCTAGTCGCCTATAACTTAACTTACCTAATGGTGGTTCACTATAAGGACGTCGGACCAATCCATATCAGAGGTGGAGACAGATTAGAAAAACTTGTTCACCAGAGACATTCTGGATTGCAACTTCACAGGCTGCTAAAACTCCTATTCTGAGACTGAATAGCGTTTTTATATATTGAGCTCCTTTTAAAATCTTGACATTTACACTTGCTTAAAGCTGTGTGTTTGTGTTTTGTTGTATCTTATTAATTTAGGCAGCTTATGTCAACTTAACTGCCCCCCCCATTTTTCTGTTTCTCGTGTTTCAGATAATTTGGATGACTATAATTGGTCATTTTTGTTGATGATGTTATGATGGTTTTTTTTTTCTTCTCCCCCTATTTTCTTCTTCTTTCTTCTTTTTCTGCTCTCTTCAGAATTTAATCTTCACTGATTGTTTCATCATTGCGTCAGACCCTGATGGAGACTTTTTAGTCCTCGTGCTGTATTGCTCCAATTTGTTTTTTAAATAAATATTTTTTCATTCAAATCAATGTGAATGTTTTGTCATATGCACAGCGTCCCTTCAGCTGCATATGTTTTGACCTGTGACAGCAGGGAGCCTCAGTTTAGTTTCCTCGAACATCAGGGGAGGCCAAAGTTGAAAGCGGGCATCACTTGAGCTTCCTGTCTGTGTGCTGCACTCACATCAGCATGTTTCACTAAATGGTGAACGTTACAGAAAAGATCAAATTCCACTTTTCACTAATGCAGCTATTAAATCTTTCTAAATTCAACTTTTATCCCTTCCTCACACAGACAATGATGGAGAAGAATCATGCAAATGATGACAATTTGAATATTTTTCAAGTTTTAATGTTTAATGCCTGTAATGAGACAATATTCAAGAGATGCCATAGCCTCATAAAAAGCTTTTTTCCTGCCTTCATTTTCTCTTCTGCCTAAAAATACAAAGCTGCACAAGGTGAAGTTTTATTAATTCCGAGTTTAAGCTCTTCTCGCTGACTTTTCTTTGGTGTTTTTTTTTAATATGTGTTTCATTTTTAATGCCAAACATTAAAAATGCTTCTGCAGCACCGGAGAACCTTTTCAAACAACAAATGGAGAAATAATAAAAGATGTAATATAGAAACCATTAAGCTTCTTCAGTTTTGGCCTTTTTGTCTTTTCTTGTCTTTTTGTCTGCTGTATCCTGTTCACTGTAAATTAGATGCTCTAGATCTGACCTGAACACAAACAGGACAGCGTAAGAATACATTAAATGTTCCCATGTGGTTAAATAAAGTAACTCCAATAGGTAAATTCTGAAAATCAGAAAAACAATACATTTGAAGCAGGAGAGATCATGTAAGTATATTAATGAAATAAGTCGCACTGTTATTTACACAAATAAAATACAGGAGAACATGACGAGGAGGGCCAGACCACCAGGAATATTCATGAGTAATTACGAATTAATTTGCTGTGAGTCTCAGTTTTATTTTATTGCAAACTGAGATTCATTTTGTATGACAGCATTACATCAAGCTTCTTGGAACACAAGTGGGAACCTTTCTACACTTTGCTGACATTTCTTTGGCAAAACTATCAAACAAATAAAATAAAAAAAGATCTCTTTTTTTAAGCATCAGGCATTCATTTAAATAAATCAAAATTTAACCACTTCAGTTTGTTACAGTAACAAAACTGCAAATGTAAATTGCAACAACTACTGATTAGTTATGATAAAGATATATAAGTTCTATAGTACCCCTAGTACTAGCTTTGTTCATACAGTATATCTGGTCTCCAGAGTGATGCACATCAGCATTTTAATGGGACTAAACAGCACATTGGAAACATTTGAGTGCAACACAAAACAGAATAGAGCAAAAACAACCCACGGTGCCAGTTTCAGCCAGCAAAGTAAAACTCGTGCAGAAATTATTACACAGATCAGCTCCATGCCTTTTCTGGGTGTTTGGGATCACATTTGGCTTCAGTTATATTAAAATGCTGAACAAGGCCTTCACGAGGTATTTGGGAGAGAGCTTTAGGTCTCTGGCATTTCTACAAGGCCTCAAACTCATCAATCCTCTGCTTGGTGTTGCCCATACGGATCTGACGGAGGGTCTTGTACTTATCACGGCCAGCGCGGACGTTCTCGGCATGGAGCTTGTCGTTCTGGGTCTTCTTGTTATCGTCTCGGGATTGTTCCAGCTCTGAGCTCAGGGCCTGCGGAGGAGTTGTGTTTAGTTATTAAACTGTATACAATTCACTTCATCAACAGATATCTTGGCAACCCCTTCATTAGAAAGCGATATCTTTAATTTAATCTTGTTCTTTTGGCTGTTCCTTTTTGGGGTTGCCACACTAGATCATCTGCCTCCATTGCCTCACTATATCACTAGCATCCTGCTCTGTCACACCGACCCTCTGCATGTCATCCTTTTCTACATCCATGAACCTTGTCTGTGGTATTCCTCTTTTCCTCATGCCTGGCAGCTGTATCCACTATCCCTCTGCACATGTCCAAACTAGCTCAGCCTTGCCTCTCTAACTTTATCTCCAAACTGCTCAACCTGAGCTGTACCTGTGATGTACTCATTTCTAATCTTGCCCATTCAGGTCACTCCCAATGAAAATCTTATCGCCAGCTCTTCTTGTCAATGTCACCATCACCATAAACCATGCATCATACCAGGTTTTACTACCATCTTGTAAACCTTTCTTTTCACTCTTGCTGCAAATTCCCCCTGATACTCGTCTTCACCCACTCCATCCTGCCTGCACTCTCTTCTTCACCTGTCCTGTGCACTTTCTGCTGATTTGAATGCTTGATCCCCCAAGGTATTTAAACTCATCCACCTTCACTACCTCTGCTCCTTGCATCTTCTCTATTTCAACTATCTGTCTCTTGCTCACACATGTGTTCTGTCTCTCTTCTACTGCTCTCTCCAGCCCTTGCCTCCCCTCTCCAGGCTCTTTTCCTGAAGTATTACAAGAGAGGGAAAAGAGCCTCAACAAATCGTGATTGAAAATGTGAGTGAATTCAAAAACCATTGGGAAAAAATCTTTTAAAAACCTTATTTTGGGGCAAAGTCACAGATAGTTTTAAATGTTTATGTTCGAGTGAAGATTGAATTTAAAGTTAACTTTGATAATGCCTCGATAAACCCTTACAAGAAAGGTGCTCAGGTGCCGAGTAGTGAGACTTATTTCTAGAACAACATTATTTGTGCTTCTATAATAGATGCTTAAAATTTCATGGCTTTACAGCTTAAATAAAAGCTTAATCTCAAGTGCCAGAACAATGAACCAGAGCACTGCACAGAAGCTATATGCATCCTAACCCTATGGTTATAGGTTTAATATCCCTTTTTTTAATGTGTTTCTGAGCTCTGCTTTTCACATGGTTTTGCATTTGGATATATGGCTACACACAGGCCTCATCCTCATCTATTTGATGAAAGACCTCATTAATCGTTTACCTTTTGTAGCTCTTTTTAAATACCCTGCCTGTCTTACCAGGGACTTTCATCCTTTTGTGACAAAGTGAATATGACAAAAGCATTTATTTTTTAACACAGCATATTTTTGCTATAAGTGTTTTGGAAGCTATAGAAAAGCTACGAGAAAAAAGTGTCTTAAGCATTGCTGCAGACTCCGGCTGATCTGGGATGTAGTCCAGGTCCCTGAACTAACCTGAAGCTGCTTCTGCAGGCGCTCGTTCTTCTCGGCCTCGGTGAGTCGCTCCTCCTCCTGGCGGTCGTAGTTGATGCCTTGTGTCTGCAGCTCGGCGCTATAGGTGCTGTTTTCTTCGCTGTGCTCGTGGTCACTCTCGCTGTCTGAGGAGGAGGAGGAGGAGGAAGCATGCTCAGCAACAGGAGCTGAGTTGGCGGAACTCATCACAGTGTGCAGCTCCTCCTTCGTTTTCAGCAGACTCTCCTCCACTTCGACAGCCTAAAAGGAAAGGTGGGGAGAGGCGTGTGTTAGATTTGCTGGTGGTTTGCATCATTGAGCATTTGATTATAAAATAAATGTAGTATTTTAAGTGTTTTAGTTGTATATATGTGACAGCAATACCCAAATTTGCAAGGACATTGACAAATCAAGCTTTCTCGCTTCTGGTTTTTGCAAACTTGAACCTGCCTTTCTGACCTCTCCACTAAAACATGGCTCCTGAATTTATACTTTCAAACCAAAACAATCTAATACGAATAAGATGGAAGGGTTACAGTACATGAGTAGTTATGTTTTTGAGGAAGTATGCAATGTAAATTACAGTGCAAAAGATTCAAATTATGGATGACTTATACAGATAAATCGTTTTCTTTCTTTTAAACAATAAATTTATTTTTGATATTGTGCTGTGACATTTTTCTGGTATTTCCTGTGACTTGTGGAGCTCTTGACTGCATGCTGGAGACCCACCTTGGTGTGCCATGTCTCAGCCTCTTCCTCCTT